ATGTATAAATTTGTTTAGCCTTGAATCTCAGTTTTCTGATCTGCTCAGTTGGGGTGCTAATGCCTCTATCCTGAGGTTCTGGGGAGAGCTGGCATTTTCTCTGGTCTCTGGGCCCTTCTCTGAGCCCTCACAGTGCTTGGTGGTGTCCTTTTTCTTTTTCTTCTACTAGCCTGTGGACATTTGAGGTGAAAATTGTGTCTTATTCATCTTCATATTTGAAGTACCTGAGACAGGGCAGGGCTTATTAAATCTTTGCGGAGCAGATCAATGATTGTTACAAGCTCTTGGCAAAAAGTAAGTTTTCTCGAAAGGAAAGCTGCCGTGCCACTGAGATAATGTTTCCCATCATTGTAACTCTTAACTCAGTTCCTTCCTCTTGCCTGATCCCAATTTTCCCTCAAAAGTATACAAACAGCAAGCTAAGGACTTACTTCCAATCTTGTTGAGCTGCAGTTCCACATTTATTGATATTCACCAAGGAAGCCAACATTTTTGGAGGGTCTCGATGTTCTGCTATCTCCTCCACACACAAGTCTCTGCTGTGGTTGCCTCAAGTCTATAGAGTTCTCAGTTAGACTGAATTTCTTCCTTTCCTGCTGGGAAGGGATTGTCTTCTTCCTGACAAGACAAAGCCTGCAGTTGTGTTCTCCCAGGAGAGCAAAGAGAAGATGATCTCTCCTGGACATTTGCTGTATGGCATGAACTATTGCAGATGCATAGTCTGATCATGGCCATTTTCACAGATGAGGAAACTGAGGCCCAAAAGAGTTCAATTACTTGCCCAAGATTTCAGAGCTTATATATGAATGGAACCATCAAGATTATCTAATATGAAATTATAGCTCTTCCCTCAGTACATCATGTCCTACCAAGGAGGGTGGTCTGGGTCTCAGAGCTGAGCCCCGGTCTTCTGAGTCCTTTTGTATTTTTCAGACTGGCTGCTGCTGCAGACCTCTCAACTGGTATTCCAGGAAGGGGAAACATTCACATTGAAGTGCCACAGTTGGAAGAGCCAAGCCCTGAACAAAATCACATTTTTCCAGAATGGAAACCCCATGAGGTTTTCTAATAATAATAGCTGGCTAATCTCAAAAGCAAACCACACTCACAGTGGTGATTACTACTGCAAAGCCTTTTTAGGAAAGAATCTACACACATCGAAGTCTGTGACCCTCACTGTCCGAGGTATGAGAATTCTGTCTAGATGTGGGAAAGACAAATGGGGAGATAGTCAAGGGTGAAAAAGTTCTATTGGCTCACAGGGAGATCTGAGAAATGCCACAGCTACAAAACTGGGCTCCAAGGCAAAGAGAACTGTGAAGGCCTTGCCAAGTACTGGCCAGTGGGCAGAAGTAGTAGCTGGAGCTCAGAGCTCTTTGCTTGCAGGTGATGGGTGACAAGGCTGTTGTCCTCTTTTGAAATACAGGCCACATACTAATAATAGCAGTGAGGCAGAGCCCACTCATTTGCACAGATTCTCTAAACTCCTGGACATTCCTAAAAACTGAGGCTTGTCTTCTTTCTTCTTTTTTTCTTTTTTGGTCTTTTTGAGACAGGGTCTCCCTGTAGCCCCAGCTGTCCTGGAACTCACTATGTAGACCAGGCTGGCCTTGAACTCACAGAGATCTGCCTGCCTCTGCCTCCCGAGTGCTGGGATTAAAGGCGTATGCCACCACGCCCAGCGTCTTCTTTCTTATGTCTCACATAATGGTCATTCATGTCTGAAGGCCCAGCATGTTCTGGACAATGGTGGTGCCACCAACTCTGGGAGGCCTCAGGCCTATCCTCCCCACTCACCCTGAGGCCTATCCCTCTGCTACTACATACTCACCAGCATGCCTTTATTAATTTGATAGAAACACTTGGTTATGGGAGAGGCTCAAGTCCAACCATAGAAACCCTGGGTAGATGAGGTTTCAGGGTGATGTGTTATACCTACGAGTGACTCAGACACTGAGCAACTCCAGGTGACAAGCCTTAGACACAGCATTGGAGGAAGGTGGGGAAGATGGAGACAAGACAGAGAGAATACTTATTACCTGTCTTCGCATGTGTCTTCTCCAGGGCCCAAACCAAGCAACTCTTCACTGACATTGACAGTCGTGGCTGCTGTCACTGGGATTGCTGTAGCAGTCATTGTTATCATCCTAATAGTTTTGGCCTATCGCAAGCAAAAACAAGCTCCAGGTTGGTGGCTACCTTTGGTCCCTCTTATCAGTTTCTACTTAGCTGAGACCCTAACCCAAGTCTTGGCAGAACCCTTAGCTAGGGTTTAGAGAATCATTTGCATTGCTGTAGCTCCATCATTATCAATTTATTCATTCAGCTATAAATGCATCTATTAAGCAAGACCTGAGCAATCCTATTGATGTATCAAGTACTATGCTAGACACTGTTGATGTCTGTTCCAATTTCTCTGGAACTGGTCCAGTTTCTCATAGAGATGTGACCATGAACTGGGTCTTGTGCATAGATGTAGCACATCCTGTAATCCCAGGATTTGGGAGGCTAAGGCAACGGAAGCCAGGGTCAGTGAGCTGACTCAATCGATAAAGATGCTTAGAGTCAAGCCAGGCAACCTGCGTTTGATCTCTGGAATCCATGTAAAGGTGGAAGGAGGGAACTGAGTCCTCAGAGTTGTCCTCTGACCTTCATACATGTGCTGCTGTGCACACCCCTCCCAGTAATAATAATAAATAAATTTAAAAAAAACTTTAAGATTCTGAAGCCAGCCTGGGTTATAGGGTGAGTTTGAAGGCAGCCTGTGCTACATAACAAGGCCCTGTCTAAAATTTAAAGAAAGAGGAAACTCCATAGTCCCACATGTTAGGCAGCTTTCTGTCACTGAAAGTACTCCAGATAATCAACTTATAAAGAGAGGAAGTTTCTAGGCATGATGGCACACACCTGTAATTCTGGCATTTAGGAGTCTAAGGCAGGAGGATCAATGAGTTCAATACCCTGTCTTAAAAAACAAACAAACAGGGCTGGAGAGATGGCTCAGTGATTAAGAACACTGGCTCTTCTTGCAAAAGACCCGGGTTTGAATCCCAGCACCCATATAGAAGCTAACAACTGTCTGTAACTCCAGTTCCAGGGGATCTGACAGCCTCTTCTGTATTCCGTAGGCATTGCACAACATGGGTGCACATACCTACGTGCAGGCAAAACACAAATAATAAGTAAAATATTTAAAACAAACAAACAAAAAACCAAACAGAGACAACCAGAAAGGTTTATTTCGGCTCATAGTTTTGTATACTCCATTCATGATTTGTTGCTCCCATTGCTTTGGTCTGTGGTGAGCTATAATACAGTGGGAGTACATGGCAGGACAAAACTGTTCACCATATGACCAGGAAGCAGAGATCAAGGAAGGAATTGGGGCTCCCACAACCCCCTTCATGAGCTGCACCTAAAGGCCTCCCAGAAGGCCCACAACTTAAAGGTTCCACCTCCTCCTAATGTCTCCACTGTGGGGATGATATATTTAACATCTGAGCTTTTGGTAGACATTTCAGATCCAAATTGCTGCATACAGCCTGGCTGGGGCAGTTAGAGAAGTTTTTGTGGGGTGGCAGGGTGGTGATTTAAATATATATAGTGGGGCCAGACTGCTGTGTTTCAAATCTTGGCTCACAGATCACCCAGCTGTATAATATTGGGTGAATTAACCTGTATGCCTCAGTCTTATCTGGGAAATAAAGAATACTAATAGAATCTACCTTACAAGACTGTTATGACAATGATTGAGGTCAAAGCTCTTGTAACAGTGCCTGACAGAGAGTAAAGAACACATAAACACAAGGTGTTATCACTGTGGAGGAGGTGATGTCTAGGGATAGCCATTAGCTAGAGGAAGCGCTTTTGGAAACTGCAGCCAAGGCATAGAAATGAGGAATACTGTAGGCAGGCTGGGGCCAAGGGAGGCCACTGAGAAGGAGAAAATAATACTACTAATATCTCACAATACACTTTGCAATTGGTTCATAGGAATTCAGTTACTGATGGGTAAATACTGAAATACTGAGATGCTGAGAGAAAAGTTTCACTTTTAAAAGGCAAAGAGAGCCGGTTATGGTGACACACGCCTTTAATCCCAGCACTTGGGAGGCAGAGGCAGGAGGATCTCTGGGAGTTCAAGGCCAGCCTGGTCTACACAGTAAGTCCCAGGACATCTGGGGCTACAGGGAGACCCTGTATCAAAAAAAGACCAAAAAAAAATTTTTTTAAAGGCAAAGAGAGTCTGAGAAAGATGCAATCGAATAGCTTTTCCAAAATACTTAAACATTTACTTCTCTCTCTGGACCAGCAACTTTATGGGATAGAGAGGTTCTTGATGAGGACTGCTGGGCAGTGAGGAAGAGAGGAGATGGTTTTGTGAAGGAATGGTCTATGTTGTTTTTACCTCAGTCCTTACCCTGGTACTCAGTCCTGAGGACCCAGGACCCACTCCATAATCCTACTAACCTACTACATGCCCCTCCTAGCTCTCCCAGGAAACCCTGAGCACAGGGAAATGGGAGAGACCCTCCCCATGGAAATAGGTGAGTACAGCATGCCCTCTGGAGGCTCAGTGACTCTCATCCCAGGGCCTCCATGTGGACTGGAGCCAGCGAGCATCAGCTCCTGTGAGTTCACTGGGAGTGCAGGAGAGGGAGGAGGAGTGGGAGGAGGGCTGGGGCTCAAATCTCTTGGTCAGTTCTGAGTCTAACTCCTGGACCTAAGGAGGATCTCACTAGAGATGAGAAGAGGAATATCTGTCCCAGAAAGGGGAAGGGGGTGGGGGTGGGGGGTTGGGGCTGTGTCCAGACTTCTAGACAAACTAGGAATCTGGAGACATTTCCAGAGTAGGAAGTCAGAGTTATCTGGATCCTTCTGTGGAGATGTGGCAGAGCTGGCAAAGGATAGGGGTTAAGAGTTATGTGACAGAGGCCAATAGGATGAAGGTAGGCATCTAAGAGGAAAGGAGAAGGCCTGGGAAAACCCTAGAGGTTTGCTCAGGAATCTGTCCTGATGGAGGGGTCCGGGTAGGTATGGTACAGATCAACTTTTAGTAGCATATTAAGAGGAGGATTGAGCTTGAGAAAATTCCAGGGGACTGGAGCTCTTTATGGGTTTCACTTTGTGAGCATATCCTGGTTCTAATGCCTACTTGTGTTGCTTTACCAAATACTGGCCTGATTCTGAGACCATCATATCATACAATTGAATCTGGAGCATGTCATTCCTTGTGATGGGGTCAGGTCACTTCATTGTGGAAGTGGGTGACTGGCTTAGGTGACCTCTGAACCTTTATAGGTCTGAGATTTGAAAACCAATGACTGTTAAACCCTGGTTCAGAAGGAAGAATGTAAAAGGAGTGGGTGTATTCCAGGCAATTCCTGACTTTAGTTAAAGACAGAGCACAAAGGCAGGTAGATTTTTCTTTGGAGGCATCCATGACAGCAGAAACAAGAGGAGAAAGAGAACTTGAAAGAGACCCTTGGAGATTCCACTTCAGAGGCCTGGAGTGTGACTCAGAGTGGAACCAACAGATTTGAGTGCTTGAGCGAAACAGCAGTCACCTAACTGTGCTTTCAGCAAGGTCTGTGTGTCCCTCAGCCAGGCCACATGGGGATGCCAGGCCACATGGGGATGTGGGCCTGGGTCTGTATCTAGGGTCCAACTGGACCTTCAAAAATGTCTAGTCACAGGGGCTGGAGAAATGGCTCAGTGCTGAAGAACACTGAATGTTCTTGCAGAAGACCCGGGTTCGAATCCCAGCACCCACATGGCAGCTAACAACTGTCCATAACTCCACTTCCAGGGGATCTGACAGCATCTTCTGTCCTCTGTGGGCATTGCACAATACGGGTGCACTTATCTATATGCAGGCAATACACCCATACACATAAAAAAAATAAAAATAATAAAATATTAAAAAAAAGTTTAGTCACAACAGAATTCACCACCTTGTCTGGCTTTGTCTACACTGGCATAAACACATTCTGTAAGGCACTTATGCAGCCAGACACTGGAGTTGATGGCTTCCTGAAATGCACAGTAAATTGCTGGGATTATAGAAGAATACATTAAAAAAGGGGGAATTCTGAACGCAGTATGGGGCAGAATTTGGAACACCACACACAGAGTTCTTTGTGGACAGGGAGTGAGTGAAGAGACTGGAGGCATTGTTGTAGCCTCTTCCCCCACTTCTTGAGAAAATGCTGATTTATAGATACTGAGGCAGATTTTCATAATGGCAAAGGGAACCTAGGGAAAAACACGAGCTAATCTGGGCTGTTTATCAGTACTCTCTGGTCCTTCCTCTCTCCCTTTCCCCCTTCCTCCTTCCCTCCCTGATTTTCCTTTCCTTCCTCTTTCTCCTTTTCCTCTCTTTCTTTCTTTTGAGTGTCGTAGAGTACTTGATTCTTTAAAGGTCCGACAAGAATAAACTACATTTGTCTAATCTGGAAGTGGCCCTCAGTCTTCCCTCCCTGAAACCTGTGACTGGCAAAATTCTGGATTATTTATTTCACTCAAAATTATTTCACTCTGATGCTAAGCACTTTCCGTGTTCCCCAATTGCCCGAATCTCCAAAGCCGCCTGGTTTGATGCTAGGAAAGTTCAGCAATTGTCTGAAAAGAATATAGCACAGTTGTTTCCCTTGGCCAGTGTGGCCAATGGGGAAGGCTCGGTATCAAAGAGTCATCTGGCTATCTTGACTTGCTGCTTGGCCTGCAGGCCTGGGTTGGGGTTGCTTTGGGTCTGCTTTGGGCTTTGGTTTTGCAGCCTCAGCAGTGGCACATTAAGCCCTCTTCTTCAGCAGTGCCCAGGTTGATCTCTTTCTTTTGCCCACAGCCAATCCCATTGATGATGAGGAAGCTGCCAAAACTGAGGTGAGTGAGCCTGCCCGTGTCCTTTTTCTCCTCCTCCTTCCTGCTCCGCCACTCTTTCTCCCATGACCTCTCCGTAGATCTCATGGCTCATTTCTGCTTTCTCTAGGCTGAGAATACAATCACCTATTCGCTTCTCAAGCACCCAGAAGCTGTGGATGAAGACACAGAGCCTGATTACCAGAACCACCTTTAATCTCCCTTGTCTTAGTTTGGGATTGAGAATTTTGCCAGTCACAGGTTTCAGGGAGGGAAGACTGAGGGCCGCTAGTGTCTCCTGGCAAACTGCCATTGGGCATGGTCAAGTGAATGCCCTAAATCTTCAGAAGCAGGACTTCCAGAGTGACCAATGTGAGTCCTGAAACCAACAGACAATCTGGTCCTGGTCCCCCGGGTTGACTGCTCTGCTTCCTTCTAGGACTTGCACCTCAAGACTCTTCTGTTACACATACACACAGCCAATAAAATTAATCAAATTACTGTCATTAAGAGACTGTAGCTACAAGGGAAATGCTTGTATTACAGGTTACATGAGAATAATTATATTAGTATACATGATCTCAAAAATGACAAAATAGACTTGTACCAACATGTTAAAAGTGATATTTCAGGAACTATAGAATTATAAGGGAATCTTATTTTCTATCTTATTTTTCCATAAAGGTCATGAATTACTTTTACAATAAAATATTATTAAAACAATGTTCTCTTTACCTTTTCAAGGCTGTTTATCTCTTCTGTGAGAAGACTCTTGGGGGGTAGTAATGGTTAGGTGTTCAGTTGACATTTCCTGGAGTGACATAAACATCTCAGATAGGGTGCCAACAGTAGATCGAAGTAGTAATTCCCCTCAAGTCTAGTTTGGTAAACCAAGGAGTTCATTGGGCTTACTTATAGGAACACAGGTGAGGAGTTACTTACAGGATTGTTAGTGACCCTAACAGCTGTGTCACCAGCAAGTCCTACTCTAGCATGAAGACTAGTTATATAGTTGGAGCCCCCTCCTTCAGTTAGTTAATCTTCCATAGTCTATAGACTTGAGTGCTTCCTGGGACCACAGGCAGCTGGGACAAAATTACACTGAGGTAAAGGGTATGTAGAAGGGAGTGACTGGAAGCTCTCTCTCTCCCTCTTTTGCTAAGTGGCTCAGAGTAGCCTCAAACTTTCAGTCCTTCTGCCTCTGCTTCAGATCTTGAGAGTATGGGCATGCACCACCATCCCTTGCCTGGTAGTGATTGGCAGGATGTAGGGGAGAGGAGAGATGGTGATTGGGACTGCAGGGCTTTAAAAACTGAATGTTCTTCCAGTGAACTTGTATTCTTTTTGTTTTGTTTTGTTTTGTTTTGAGACAGGGTCTCCCTCTAGCCCCAGCTGGCCTGAAACTTGCTATATAGACCAGTCTGGCCTAAATCTCCCAGAGATCCTCCTGTCCCTGACTCTGCTGAGCTAGTACTCTTGTTTCCACACCTTCTTCTCCTTTTCTTTTCTCCTGTGACAAGCAAAACACTTTGTTTTGCATCACAAATTCTCAGGAAGTCAAACTTCAGAAGAATGTCAGTGGGAACTTGAACTGATCCTCCTGCTTCCACACTCAAGTGCTGGGATTATGGGCATTAATCATCATGCCTGGCTGGTATATGTATTTTAAAAACTGGATTACATTACATATTTTTATATGTTCACAAAATCACTCAGGCAAAAGTTTATGCACACTGTAACCACATAAGTTCAGATAGCACAGAAGTTCAAAGAAGAAAAAACAAAAATTCCCTGTTTTGTCCTCATCCCCCCTAATTATGTTCTTCTTATGAATAACCACTGTTGAAGGTTTTGTGTACATTTAGATTTTTGTACATATATTCTTTATATTTATAGTTTTTTGAAAGAGTACCTGTGGGATAATACTTTATACATGATTATGTATAACATATCCTCTTGTTTAATAAGAGGGTCACTGGGGCTTTCTGGTTGCCAATCTAACTCCAGGTTTGCTGAGAGACCCTGACTCAAAGGAATAAGGTGACAAGTGATAGATCAGGATACTCAATGCCCTTCTTTGACCTCTGCATGTCTGCACATAGGCACACGTACCTGCACACATGTGTATACACACAACACACATGGTAAAATAAGTTAAAACATTCTCTAGATTTTCTTCTTTGAACTCCCTGATAACCAAGATAACTTGCATGGATCTTAGTGGTTCAATCTAAACACAAACAGCAAATAAGTTTAGTTGACATAGAGGAGCTTAGCCCTGGAATCTCTTGGACTCTCAGTGATTGCCTGGACTCTCTTTTATTGTACCTTTAAGAAAAGTCTTACACGGTGGTCACAAGACATGGAGAAATCAAGTTGGTGGGACCAGGAAGCTTCCTCCCTGCTGGCTAGCTTTCCATAGTACAAGAAGATGCTATGTAGGCTTCTGGGGAAAAAATGTCATCTATAATATTTTCCAACTGTGAATTCTGTGAATTACAATAATGACTGGCATGGGTGTAATAGTCATATGAATGTTATAGGGGTAATCAACTGCTTTTTGATTGGCTTTTAGGCCTGCTCCATAGGAGGAAACATGTCTGGTACCATAAATTTGGCCAAGAACCTATGGTTGGGGAGATCACAGGCCCCAGGAGTGAACCTACCTATTATTATCTACCTATTCTGAAATATGGATATAGTGTCCAACTACCTTCTAAATTCTTTTCTCTATACCTGTAACTTAATGCAGCTCTCAGATTTCATCAAAGAAGCTTCTTTATGCAGTGGACAGTGGTTAATGCAGAAACTCATAACTGGCCAAAGTACAGAGACAGTCAGTGGAGTGCTTAGCTATAAATGGGACATCTGTATCAGTGTTCCCCCTCCCCAAAGTGCAAGGACCATTGCAGAATAGGGGGCAGAACGATTTTAAGAGCTAGAGGTCCAGGAGCACCAGAGCAAAACAGTGTCTTCTGGACATAACAGGACCACTACACTCATGAACTCACAATAGCTGTGGCTGTCAGCACAAGACGTGCAAGATCAATCCAGTCATCATTCCAACATAGAGTAGGAAGGGGTTCAACCAGCCCCAAGTTCTAAATGAGGAGCTGTGGGCAGTTGATGGCTTCTGGGGGAAGGAGAGTCTATTTTCTTTAAGGGTGTGGCCTCTGGTAGGTTGATCATATTCAAGTGAATGGTTCTACACCCATGAGTATATGGGCAACACAAATTAGACTTGATGGATTGTTAAAACAACAACAAAAAAAGAGGACAGGAAGTTGAGAGTAGGGGAGTGGGGAGGTAGGGCTGGATCTGGGCAGGGTTAAGGGGAAGAGTTAGGGTGAATGCATCAAAACAGATTATATGAAATCTTTAAAAAATAATAGAAATATTATACATTTTTAAAGAAGCCTTATGTGAGTGAGTCTCTGTGGAATCAAATGAGTTTTCCCCACATCCTCTTCAGACAAGCCTCCTGACCACCTTCCCCCACTTCTATTATTCTGTTTTAATTTTCTGTGCTATCACTATAAGTAATTATGTATTTTCTTGTTCAGACAAGAAATGTAACCTCAATACAGTATGATTTTTTTTTCTTTATTTACTACTAGTCCAGGGACTAGAACAATATAATACA